TCGCTCACTGATCCCACTGAAATTTATAGAGGTCATCTATAAACAGTTGTTTTGCCAGAAAACATTGTTCCTCCAGCATATACGAGTATAAAATATTAGACAATCATTTGAAAAATCTCATAAACATGTTCATGTTGATTAGTGTATACAAATGCTCAAATGCTCATGAAGTACAATAGCGGTGCTTCAAAAAAAACGTATATGAGTATAAGAATATAACAGGTGACAAACCATGGATCCGAGAATATGCGTATGAACCGAAACGTAAACAACAGTCGACTGTTTGACTGTATGGGTGTTTCAAGATAAAGCAAATCTAACAAAAGTTGTTAGTACTCGAGATACTTCGAAAAAAATGGACGCTTATTTTGTCGGGAAAACTGCTCATGTGGCAATTACGACTATACCATTACAGAAACGTAAAATGGTAAGTGTTTTACCGAAAGTCTTCACTGAAATCAAATAAGCGGAAAACAAATAAACTCCATCAAATCATTCTCCATCTCCATCAGAACAATGTAAGTGCTCACACATTTACGTCTAACAACCGACTATTTGTCAACCGACATTCCAAAAATCGAATAGAAGGGTCCTTCGCTGTATATTGGGGTCCTGCTTTGGCACCCAATAACTTCTCTTTGTATTTTTGTCAAGAATAAATTGCGTTGGCAACGATTTTCGATTGATTGTGAGCAGAAAAAACTGCTGTATATAAAAATCAATTTTTTGGAGGTGTCTGAAGAAGATTGGAAAAAATGCTTTGACAAATAGTTCGAAGTTCGAATGCATGCAAAAATGTATTAACCATAAAGGAGAATACTTCGAGAAACATTAGAGCAATTTTCAACAAGTTTTTTTTTTTTGAATTATGAGGCTCAAAATATAAATAATGACCCTCGTATGAGATAAAAATACTATGTAAAAAGTATTTAAATTACTTCTATATTATATTCTCTAAAACACTATGTATACTGTTATACTGTATATACTGCATATGTAATAGGCTGTTGTGAGAAATATTAAAGTGACTATTTTTTATGAATAATAAACGGATAAGAAAATAAGTGATCATAATTGCTGAATTTCACGGAAAAGTAAACTGTAGATATAATAGTTTTTTAGGTTAGAAAAATATTTTTTAGCTTCCATTTTTATGAACAGTTCCCATTTGGCAGGGCACAATTCCTTGAGTTTGTAGTTCTCCAATTATTTTAATAAACAATTAAATACAGTTTTAGGTAATGTGAACTGTTTTTAAAAAACTTATTTACTTTTTCATTAAACAAAAATATTGAGTGACAATTTTTAAGTACTTATTTTATAAAACATTATGTTTTATTTATTTAATTAAAACTGAAAATATGAACCAATTCTTATCTTATTTGCAATTAATTTTGTATTAAACTTGCATATTTTATATTAAAGTAGTTTCTTGGTATTAGTCGGACCACGATTTTTATTAATATAGAATTTCAAATAACTTTTAGTTCAAATGAATAAAAATAGTGCATTATGAAAGCATAATTTTCATTACGTTCATTAGTGTAAGGTGTGAGAATTTTCACGTATGTTGATATTTTTACTGATTAGTAGTGAAAGAGTGTTCATACATTTAATTTATATTATTTATTTGGAAAAAATAAAACTTAATAAAATTTGTGTGCTTATAAAATTGATTTGTAGTATAAATAAAAGTTTTTATTTAGTTATAATACTTAAACTTTTATAAGTATTTCCATTAATTTATGAAATGGAAATTTTTACAGAAAGTTATATAAAGTTATATATATGATTGCACACTCACTATCTAAAAATTTTGCAGATATAGCTACGTTCTGCAAATGTTCTTAATGTCTCGTGAATGGCTTATCGTTACTAATTCTCTTATCTTATCTCCACTATATAAAAATTTTTTTACAAATTTATATCTCAGTGCATAGATAGAAAATAAAATTTCATTAAATTATTTATTCAAGACCAAAGTTATGCTAACAATATTTTTCGCAACGTTGTTTATTTACTCATTTCGGCTGTAAATATTATTTTTTCAATAAATTCCCAAAAGTATGCTTTTCATATGTATACTGGGCCAGATAGGCGTATTTAGTATACCATATATCTGGCCTAATTATTTAATTTTAGCTTATCATAAAGTATTTATAAAAAGAAAAAATAAGCTTACACATTAACGAATTTTGGTAACGTATGTAATATTTTTTATAATAATTTGCGAAATAAATGGGAAATAGAGCAATAACCAGTTTTAATCACTTTGGGTTTTAAACACTTTTCGAAAATGTGATTGTAATATAATATTTATAAAGTTAATTATTTTTGCCGAAAGCTACGCTTCTTATAACGACAAAGAAGCTATTTTTAAAAGTTAGAAAGGTTCAAATAGAAAAGAAAAGACAAGAACAAAAATTCAGTTAATTTATTGAAATTTGACTGACCATACAACGCTCTTTCGAGTATTGCCAAGTCATCGCTGTTAATTTGACAGGCACGAGTTCTAAGCCTGGCACTTGCAGTCCAAACAAATTATATACGAACTATAAACTAATTAAAAAAAAAATTGAATATTTCCTAAAGCCACTAATGATGAGTACTTGACAATACTCGAAACAGCGTTGTATGGTCCGCCAAATTTTAATAAATTGACTAAATTTTTGTTCTTGCCTTTTCTTTTCTATTCGAATCCCTCTAATATAATATTTATGAACTATAATGTGATTACAATACTTTCGACTAATATCAATCTAATTAGTACTTATCAGTTACGTGTTGACAAAGTATGCTAGTTTCAACTATCTTTACATCAACATTTGTCATTTAATTTTGTCAGACTTGTGATATGTATTTGTGATTTCATTAAGAATCGAGACTTACAGCTATACTTTTATATCGGTCAAATTACTATTTTGTAATTTTTGTGAACTGGGATTTTCGGTTCCTATTAAAAATGCTGAGTTCGCAGCTTTAGCTTTGTTTTTTTGAACTCAATTAGTAGACATTCAACTTCGTAATTACACTCACCTATTGTTATGTTTTGCTTTCATTCTAGTGAAAATTTTATTCTTTTTATTCCGAGTATCTTACTTTTTTCTTTTTTTTCAGATTTTCAATAGTTTCTTTTCCTTTTAGTTTTCTTTTACTGATTTGTTGATTATATTTTTGAATAGAATCAGTCTTTTGCCATTCCACATGTCTTGCAATATTTTCCACCACCAGAATAGCAGTATAAGTAATTCCCTGCTTAGTTCACTGATTTGGTCTGGATATAGTTAGCTAACAAGTATAAGGCTCTAAACAATTTTCGTTAAGCTTAATTTATAATTCACTACTTTTTTTAAGTTACTCTTGGCGCTCTCTAACTACATAATAGACTGCCAGAAAGAACATATAACTATTAAGTATAATATCACAGTCGTTTTAAACATTTTGCAAAAAGCGATTGTAGAACTTGACAATAAGCTTAATTCTTTAAACCCATTTGTAGAAATCAATAGAACGAGAGTAAATAAACAACGATGTTTTCTAGAAACAAGATTAAGTTCAATTATACAGCTGTGGTTTATGCATTAGTTCTAATTAATAATAAAGTAAGTGCAAGGGTTGTTTATAAATAAACAACACTGAGTATCAAATTTCTAAATATAAAACATATTAGTTGTATGTTAACTTTTTCCCCGGATAACAAGCTAGTTCCCGGATAACAAGCTAGTTGCCCGATAACAAACTAGTCTTCGGTTTTAATTTGACAGTATTCAATTCCTGACAGTTATAGTCCAAAAATTATATATGAACAAACAAATCAAAAGATAAGTTTTTTAATTATCATTAACTTTTAAAAAACAACAATTAAATCAATGTATATTTCCAAATGCAACTGATGATGAATATTTGATACTATCCGAAAGACCTAGATGGTCAGCCAAGAATTCACTTGATTGTTTCATCAAGTAAAAAATTGTTTGGATATGAAAATTTTATTTATTTTTGTCATTGGACATTAATAACTTTGTTATTTAATCTGTATTTTCATATCGATTATAGTTTATTTAGTGTGAAATTTTTAGGAAATTTATTACTGTGGGTGTCCGATAACATTGGACCAAATGCAAATATCCTCCATTTTTGTTATAGTATATAAATAAGTTTTAGTTATAAAATCCATATTTTCATATAGATTATACTCTATTTATTGTAAAATTTTTAGAAAAGTTTTATGAGTGTCTAATAATACTAGACAATTAATTGCAATTAAAACTCTTCTTCTTATCACCACGTATAAAGTAACTAAGTAGACGTCATTTAAAACCAAAGGTAGTAGCATATTTTTAGATTATAAATGTAAGATGTTACTTTTCCAATTAAAGGTTATAATTTATAGTAAAAAAATTTGTCTTTTGCTGTAATCTATTTTACAATTTAATATAGTTGGAAGAGCATAATGGATATATGTGAGAAGTCACCTTTAATAATTTCTGAAATTTAGAACTGCTAGAGTTTAAACAAAAAATACTGAATAACATAATTTAGTTTTTATGTTTTTTTTTATTTAATTTAATTACTTATACATTATCTGTTTAATTTAATTTGGTAATAATAAAATATTTCGATTGGGATTTTAGGCCAGATATGTAATCGCCCTTTGATCTATACAGATTCCAACATGCAATAACTGGCGCTTGAATTTTCTTATAATATTTATTTCTTGTAATAAAACAATATAAGAATAAAAAATTATTTAATAAAATATTTAAAATGTATGTATAAAAAATTTATATATATATCGAGATTGTAACGGTTTTCAAATAAAAGTCGTATCAACTTGGTAGGCGATTGGGCATCTGGCTTATACTAAAAACTAACTTAAATTAACATAAATATTGTTAAAATTAATTCAAAGTTAAACAATTATTTTTAGTTCGATTACAATATATAAAAATTATAGTCAATTAATTAATTGATAAATGAAAAATAAAATAAGAACTTAAAAATCTAAACAAAATTATAATAAACAAAAATGACGTCACTGAATTAAAAATTAAATTTAATCACGGCGTAAAAACACTGCAAGAACACCGAAGATGAGAGTCGCCAATGAAACTGACAAAGCGGTGCTGCTATTGCAACGAGAATTGGAGCAAGGGAAGCACTTAGCAAATTCTGTGACATTATTGGCACTCTGCAGATCCTCACATACTCCAACAGAAGCACCAACTCGTGCGCAACCGCGATTGGTGATGGTTGTGCCATTTACTATAAATTAAAAAAAATTAATTTTAGAAGTCGTTCTTCAGTACTTATGCCGTTTGGGACTTACCTTTATTTTGTACTAAGTAACAGTGATAGGTGTACTCTACGGCACTTGCGACGGAACGTGATATGCGTATATTAAAAACTGGTACTGTGCTGTTAGTAGAGTTTTCTGAGGTTGTTACGTTTTCAGCGTTGACACTAGGGAAAAGGAATGTGTTCACATTTGGTGGCGTTGGTAGACCTGTTGTGGTAGAAGCTGGTCCAACAGTAACAGGTGTGGGTATTGTTGAGTCTGTTGGTACTTTTCCTTCTGTTGTAGTGATTAGTGTTGTTGTTGATGGTTCTGTAGTTGTAGTTGTAGTGGTGGTAGTGGTAGTAGTGGTGGTTGTTGTTGTTGGTGCCTCAGTTGTTGTTATTTCTTCTGTTGTAGTTGAAGGAGTCGTTGTACTTGTCAAAGGTTCTACTGTGGTTGGAACACTTGTAGTGGTATCAACAGTGAAGTATTCACTATTGCATTGCACAAGTGGAGTTTTGGTTGTAACTTTGTCACAGTCCTCGCACACATAGCACATTAATTGGCCAGTTTGTAGACCTGTAAGAAATAAAATGATCCAATTTAGTATATGTAAAAGGCAATATTTAAAGAAAAATTTTTTTATTTTATTGTTATGTATTGTATTATTCTAATAAACAATAATTAGATTTTTTTGAACAATTTCGCAAAACTAACGACAACACGACAAAACTGATTTATTGAACGATGTTTATCTATATGTCTGTCTTTCTATTCATCTGTTTGTCGATTGATTTAATAGTAATAGATTAGTCTAATAATTGTTAAGTCCATATAATGAAACATTGCATAGAGATATGTTATAAATTAAAGCTGATAAAGTTGAAGAGATCAAATTTTGGAAAATGCAGATCAATATTTAAAAAAATTATTTAAAAAATTTATTATAAATGATATGTAAATTTATATATATATTTATATTATTAATAATTATTATTTATTATTTTATAATTATTTATTATTTTTATTATTTTTTGTATATGACAGTCATTAAGTTTAAATCGAGAAAATTAATATATTTGCAATAATTAATGCAAATTATTTTTTATTAATATTTTATAATTTTTTTTTTTAATTTCGTTTGCTGTTTTTCAATAAACAATGGCAGAGTTGAAAGTACATAATATTTATTTTTTTATTGTTTTATTGTAAGTATTACTTTTTTTTTTTAGTATTATTCCATTATCAAAATGTTAATTGAAAGCATATGACTTTTCTGTTTGCATTTTGATAAAATGCTTTAAAGGAAAAATATTGGACTTTTACGTGATAATTTATAAGATCGGTTTATGTTTTATTTCGGGACTGGTATTCATGATCTTATGCAAATTTTTTGGCAAAATAAATTATGCAAAAAAATTTTTCATCAGTTGTAGATTGGAAGTTAGATACGAAATTTATTCTGATTACTAATGACATTTTCTATATTAACACATTTGTGGTTTTATTTCATAAATTTATTTCTTTATTTTTTTTGTAAATGCTGATAAAGAAATTTTATTTTAAACTTTAATATTTTAACTAAAAATAAATAGCAAGCAATAATATATTTTGTCAAATGAGGTAGAGTAATTTTATAGAGTAATGCATATGACTGTTTAATTTCAGATACGATAATTTCTACGCAAGAATGAGGAAAGAAATAAATTAACTAAATTTAACTTGTGGTTTTTTATTAATCCCACCTGACACTAACTTATGTGACATAAGGAGTATATATATATTGAAAAACAAAATTGTGGGAATTGTTTAAAATTTGCTTAAAATATGTTTATTTTTTGCTAAGCCCGAGCATTGATAGACATGATGAAAGATATATAATCAATTACAATATTATATATCATTTCAACTTTATTTCTCTTTTACTATCAGAAACTCAAACGGAATATGCTCTTGGGAATGTATATTCTTACGGAAGAGGCAATAAAATTCTGTAAAGTAGGTTCTATACTTTACACAACAGGGTTTAGAGACCTACTCTAAACCCAAAAGAAGGCACAATAGACTCGACGGTCAGGCAATGCCACATTCTCTAACAATAATAATAATAATATTAGAAAGTGTCATTAACTTTGCTAAAGACAATTAGCAACCGTCACTGCCTTTCCAAAGAGTGATAATGATCACATAAGTTTTGTATGCTATTCACATAGCACAAGTTAAGTTAATATTCATAAACTTCTAATTGGATTAAGTTGTTACTGTCGGTCGTGTGTTTGTTGTTGTCAAACTGCGAAAGGAAACTGAAGAAAAGCACTTTGCATCACACATAAATTTTTATTTTTTCTAAATTCTGAATTTTAATAAAATAATTTTAGAGATGTTGCAATAAAAAGTGATTATAAAAATACTTCCTTCAAAATGTATGCGATGCCATTAACTAGGTTATACAAAAAATATCAGAGCTTATTATAAATCCAAATCTAAAAAATCTGAAATATGACCTATCATCATACCGTTATATCAATCAATATATTATAAAGTACTTAATAAGATTCTTTTAAGTAGAATGTTGTTAATAAAACATGTGCTAGCCATAATATCTAAACATAAGTTTGGACTCAGGAGATGTTACGGAGCTGTTGAGTTTGCTTGATTTTGTCAACTCAATTTCGAGTTGTTTTTATGAAACTATAAATGCTATTATTATAATGTTAATTTCAAATTGTAAATTACCGATTATCAACAAAAATGTCATATCAATACCTATTTGCATTTAGCTTTCGGAAGCTAGTTTAAATTATGTCGTGTGAATAGCATATTTAAATTTAATGACGAAATTACATTTTTCAAAAGGTGTAATCATAAAATTAATCTTAATTCATTAATTAATTAATTCATTAAATTGTTTTAAATTTGTTTTGATTCATTTAGAATTTAAGTTCTATTATAAGTTAAGTCTGCATGAAGTAGATTTTAGAAATTATTTTCCAAATATTGAAGATTTTTTAGATGAAGTTCCTTCCTAGATATACAATTCTTATCGTATATTTAAAATAAACCCTGTCTTCCATTTACTTTTTTTAAATTTCTTAGATCAAAGAATTACAACTAAAAACTAAAACATTTTAAAATGAAACACTGTATATTCGAATAGAAGACCAATGTACTTCAATGTCAAATATATTGATAATGAAGTTAATAGATAATTCTTACTGTCAAAAAACTTAGCCAAAACAATGAGTGACGTTGAATTTTTAAAACTATTGATAGGTAACACGACAAAATGACATGTTATGAAAAAACGACTTTAGGATCATAAAAACATGTTTCTAGTTAACCTATTAGGAATTATTTATTATGACTGAATATTGACTTCTCTGCATTAAAAGCTTATTCATACCACTTTGAAGAAACAAACTTAATATAAGACTTATAAAAAATAAAAATAAAATTAATTTTAATATTCATATATACTTTTTGGAATAAGGCAATAAGTGTTTTTTTTTAATTTAAACAGCAGCTTGGTAATTAATTACATAGAAGTTTTAGACTGATTTCGGGCCTGTTGGAGAGTAGTGGTCATTGTGAAAGCTGCCAGAAGGAAACAAAATTTTTGTTGCGTATGCCCAATTTTTTTAAAAGCATAGAACAGCTCTTCCATTTTTTAAAAATCTTGAGTAGCTACTTGAAGCCAACATCAACGATCTGCAGAATTTTGGAGCTGGCTCTACAATCAACCCATTAAATAGTTGCCGCTAATTGAATTTATGGACTGAGTCGTCATATGAACCAAGCAACTAGCACAACTTTTTCGGTTCATATAACAGATAATATGTGGTTATAGGTTTAAGTGGTTATCAAAACTTCTGGTCTTAAGCTATTGGTACAGCTATAAAGGTTGTAAAGGTTATATATAAAATAAAAACAAATTGATATATACTTGATAATCTTCCGGCTATAAGAGTTTGTTTACTGTCTATGAGTTCATAAAATTAATAGAATAGAAATTAAGAAGTGACATTCATAGATACTTTGATGTTAATAATCATTTGTAGGGTGCAGTAACGCCTTAATTAATTAAAGAAAATTTACAATGCTTAATTGCTAGTTGTAGTCATTTTATATGATGAGAATAAATCAAATACAATTTATTTGTTTTCTTTGAAAACAAAAAAAAAAACAATAAAATATGTATACGAGTAGATAATAAATAATTTATTTTTAATGCTGTTTTATATATAATTAAATAATATTTTTCTAAATTAATATTCAAATTTTAATATCAAAACGTGTGAAGATAAAGTAGAGGTGAATATAAATTTATATTTTTTTTGGTTTCAAATTTTTTCATTGTATTGCAATTGATTTTATTGCATTTAATATTAGACGTATTATTTCGTGTTATATTAGATGTATATAGTATCTGATTTGTTTTTTTCCTTTTAAATTATGTACAGTTATGTACAATTTAAGATTAAGTTTTTAACGATTGAAATAAATATAAACGTGACGATTTGATTCATTTAAATACAATGTAAATAAGATATAAGGAAGTGAGTTTGTTCGTACCTTTAGGTCTCATTTACAAACGCTTTGATCAAAATAATATGAGATACTTTTATTTTACGAAGTAGTATTTTAAAGATTTTAATTTTTATGAATTTTAACAAAAAATTTAAGTATTTAATAAATTTATAGTTCTGCTTAAAAATGCTAATTCAACAAAAATAATATATAATATAATTTTGTATTCAGAAGCAAAAGTATTAAATAAGTTTGTAGTTTTAATTAGATTGTAACTTTTTAACTAAAAGTAATTAAAAAAAAAAAAATGTAGTAAATTTTTTTATAAAGCAAAGCAGTAAATTAGTTTGTAGTTTAAATTAGATTGTTAATTTTTAAATTAACATCAATTGAACAGGAAGTTTCTAGTAATTTTTTTTTTGATTTTACAGTTGAGGTTAAAGCATCTATTAACATAATTTCTAAGTAATAATTAGAACTTGAATAATAATATATATACATATATAAGTTTATTACAAATAAATATGTATTTAAATAAATTATAAACTTTCAAATTGAGTTACTTTAATTAAATTTAATAAAAAATTTGTAAACTAAAAGTAATTGAAAATAAATTTTCTAGTAATTTTTTTTAAATACACAGCAACGATTAAGGGCTGTATATGACAAAATTTCTAATTAATAATTTACTTATATATACATTACTTAATTATAAATGAATATGAATATAAATTAATTTAAAAAATCTTTTAATTTTCTTACTTTAATTAAACTAAATATTAAATTTTTTAATCAAAACTAGCAACAAATGTTAAAAGCTGTATATATATAGCGAAATTCTATTTAATAATTTACTTAAATATATATATAACTTAATTATAAATAAATATGATTATAAATTAATTAAAAAATAGTTCAAATTTTCATACTTTAATTAAACTAAATATTTAATTTTAAGCTGAAAGTAAATATAGTTGAAAGCAAATGTCTAGTAATTTTTTTGTCAACAAAAACAAAAACAAATATTAAAAGCTGTACTACATAATGAAATA